AGCCGGGCCCCTCACAGCCGCCCTTTGCACCCACCGCAGTTGACCCCAACAAGAAGCGCCGGGAGGCCGTGAAGAGGAAGATCACCCAGTACCTGCGGCGCGCCGAGGAAATCTTCAATTGCCACCTGCAGCGGGCGGCGGGGGGCGGCAGCAGCACCGCCACGGTGAGGGGCTGGCCTGGGGCCGCGGGTCCGCGGCGCTGGGAAACGCGGTGGGGGCGCGGACACGCAGATAAAACAACCCCAGTGGTCCTCCTTGTCTGCCTCGGCCGGATGCCACACTAAGATGGTGTAGGGAAAAAGGCAGGCACACCACGCTGCCGAGTGTGCTGGCCTGCCCGTGGATAAAGGAGCCGAGGGGGCGCTTCCAGGACCCCACGCTCCAAAGTGTGTATGCTTAGCCTGCTGCCACCGTAGTGGGTGTGGACGTTTTTGTGGAGGCTGAAGCCACCGCAGGGAATCACCCTGGCAAATGTTAAAAATCTTCCTATCTCTCATCGTTTCCATCTGTATGGAAACCAAAGGCAATGGCTGCTTTCTGCATTGTGGGAAGGAGGTGGTTAAAGAAGGGAGAAGGGAGTGAGGCAGAGCAAGGTCAGAGCCTAGTGGGAAGAATGCAGGGAGAAAGACAACTACCGTCCACACAGATCCCCTTAATGTTGAAGCAGTCTAGGTCTAGCTTAAAATTTTGTGATTTTTACCTCTGCTGCAAGTGCAAGTTTTCCCAAAAAAGTTTAGAAATGCGGGGGTTGGCCAAGGAAATGGTCCAGCTGATACCACAAGTGAATCATGGCCATTGGAGTGTTGTCTCTGCATGCTGACCAGCTGAGCAGTATTGCTGCCTCCTCTGGAAAATGCGGGGACTTTTTACACCCACTGTAATGGACAAGTGCATTTCTAGGTCCTGCATCTTCTTCTCTTACCATCTTGCAGGGCTACAGCAGCCTGCGCTTCCGGCCCATCCGGACACTGAGCTCAGCAGTGGAGAACCTGAGACGGTGTAAGGTTGTGGGAGTGATTGATAAGGTAATGACTACACCTGGAGATGGGGGCTGAGGCTGGGGCTGGATCAAAGGAAGCATAAGCTGGAGGGTCCTAGCAGCTGGAATGGGGTGCCAGCCCTCAGCACATTCATCAAGCAATGTTGGGGTATCCATTTACACCATTCCCACCCAGAAATATTCATAGGAGAGGGCTCAAGACCCCTTAAGGACTTAATTGGGAAATCTGTTAAAGTCCCCATTACTTTTGCTTGCCAGACCTCCCAAGACATTTACAGGGAGGTTTATGCATCTTGTCCTTTCCCACATATGCAATTGTGTTTGATGCCCAGGTGCCACAATGGTGGACTCCTGTGGATAATCTAGACTTCAGCAGAAGCTGAACTATCTGGATAAATAAGCTAATTAGAAATTCATTATCTTGGAGTGAAGATGCCAGGCTTACTGTATCCACACACACGGTACATTTCTCTCCACTGCTGTTCACACATCTCAGTTTGTCAGGACTGATGTGATCCTCCTGTCCTGCTGAGGCCTAGATTTGAGCCCAGAAAGAGCACTGTGAAACCCTTCAGTGTGAAGGAAATAAACCAGGCATGGGAGCCACCTCTTGGTTTAATTAATTTCCTGCTTCTTGGCTGCGTGGCTATCTCCTTGCCAATAACCTGTGCTTTGTCTTTCAAGAGTAGGGGTCTGAGCCTCACAAAACTCTTCCAATTGGGTAGGAGTTAGTTTCAGTTCCAGAGTTGAGTCCCTTGGGTCATTCCTGTAGGCTGTGTGTTGGGTCACCACTTCTAACCAGTACTGTGTATACTGTCCCAGGTGCAGATTGTCCAGGATCCAGCCACTGGTGAGACCTTTATACTCAAGGTGGGTGTTTTCAGTTTCATCTGCCTGCTTCTCCCTCTCAGGCTGGGGCCACCTTGTCCAAGCTGATGGCTGGGGCAGATGAGTGGATAAAAAATAGCAGCTCTCAGAGGTTGGACAAAGTTCATGGTTCAAAAATCTTCTGGCTGTCTCAGCTATCCTCTGTGATCAGAAGGGAAGTGGTTCTCCTTGGTCAGCTGTTTCTCTGACTTCTAGCACTTCAAGCCTGTGTTAAACTGGGTCAACCCCTGAAACGGGTTGTGAGGTGTGCTCAGTACAAGTCCTAGAGTATTTTTCAGTGCCCTTGGAACTAACAATGAAGTACTTCAATAACTGGACAAGGAGAATCTGGCATGAGAGGGAGAAGCATCATTTCCAGGGGAAGAGGAGAAAGGGCTGGGCTGGCAGGTTTGTCCCTGAAATGGAGCAGGGTGGTTGCAGAGGAGTCGCTGCTCTGGAGCAGCTGTGGCCTCTGGGTCCCACAGTGCAGATGGGGAGGGCCCTACCTTGGCAGAGCTTTGCAGAGTGCTGCCTTATCCCAGCTGGCTGCTGGGGACTGACAGATTCTGTATGAGCTGCAAGTTTGTGCAGATTGGGGAGCTCCATCATGGGTGACGTGGCAGAAGGCACACTCCTGGCTGGCTGGCCTCCAGCCCTGCCAGGTGCTAGGCTGCACAGAGTCCAAGTCCTACTGTGCTGTAGCACCCATCTACCTGTACCTCCTCAGAGCCTCCCCAAATCCCACGTTGAGACCCGTGAGCGACAGACCATCATCCCTCATGGGGTCCCCTTCATGGTCAAGCTGTTGTGCTACTATGTGAGTGAGGACTCCATCTTCCTCCACCTGGAGCATGTGCAGGGTGAGTGAGAACAGCCTTGCCTCCCATCTGTGAAGCATCCTGGTTCATCCCTAACTGTCCTGTCTTTAAAATCTGAAGTATGTTTCTCCTCTTGTTTTGGGACTGTTTTTTTATAGTGATAGCATAAGCTGTCTTCTTCATAGAAGGCTGGTGGGTACCAGGGCTTGAAGACTTAGTGAACAGAGCTGCTCAGCTGTGGATTGCAGAGGTTTGATCAGAACTGGCAAGGGATGTAACCTAGAAATGGGCCTAAGGAGACCTACAAGGAGAAAGAGGTTGTGTGTGGGTGGGTGTGTTATGTGGAAACCAGCCTCAGACTTCAGAGAGATGAGCCACTGGGCCTCGTGGGAGAGAGCAGTCATGCCTTTAGGTGATGAGGTTGATGTGATCCAGCACCTTGAAAAGAAAAACTCTTCATTTTTCTGGCATTGTCTGACCATAACAAGAAGGTGATGGAGAAGGAAAATGAAGAGATGTAGTTCACCTGAATGTTATAGAACAAAACAATCTTTTGACAAGAACTTTATAATTTTTTTTTTTCTTTTTTTTGTGTTACAAAAGGTCACACCAGATTTTGGGATTATACCCAAGAGAGGAGTTGGAAAATTAGGGCATAAAGGGCAATGAGCATACTGGGGTTTGGGTACATCAAGGAGGCATACTTGAGGTTGTCCCAGGTCCTGGTGAAGAAGTATGACAAGGTGGAGGCTTGTCCCACAGAGCTTATTTACTCTCTGCTGGTTGAATGGATGTGTAGGGAGCAGCAGCTGGAGTCCAGTAATGACAAATGGAGGCTGAGGTGTGTTGGAGAGCAGGCTCAACTCCTTGTGCATTGCTATAGGATAAGTACACAGAAAGAAGCCAGCACTGAATGTAGTGAGGCTGGGAAGCCCTGGCAATATGCTGTGGGCTCCAGGGTTTGCTGCTCTGGCTCATTGCTGACCCATGGCCTCATGCCATGCTGTGGGAGCTCTCTGACATTTCTGTCACACAGGAAGGAAAGGCTTTCAGGGGAAAATGAGAATGGCAGTGGGATCAGGAGCATTTGTGAATATGTGGCTTGTCTGTCACATGGAAGTGGCAGAGGTGGGATCAAGGAGACTGTGTGGAATGGGGAGAGGGCTGCTAGGAGGAGGGAATGGGACTTAGGTGTGCCAGGTCCTAGGGAAGGTGTGGCATTGGGCATGGTGTGCTTGTAGGGCAGGGATGTATTCTGCATGGACTTGAGCTTTGCTGCTGGGGAGATGAGTGATGCTCAGTCACGATACCAGTGTGAGCCGTGGGCTGGGCCTGAATGGGCCATGTCGACAGTGGGGGAACCAGGGATACTTTCTGCCTCATCACTTGTTCTCCTTTCTGCTTTCCAGGGGAGACACTGTGGTCTCACCTCCGCTCCAAGTATTGTGTCCAGCAGGACTGTGCCAATTCAAACACCATTCAGGCCCTGAGGGACCGTGGCACAGAGGATGGTGTGGGAAACTCCCAGGGTGGTAGCCAAGTATCCATCCTCCCTGTTTGGACAGGCAGTGGCCTCCCAGGCGCTGTGAACTACCGAGTACTGGGAAACACTGATGCCTCACTACCGCAGGAGCAGTCCCCTGGCCCCACAGACTCTGGCTCAGGGAACCACTGCCAGCTTCTCCTGGCTCCTGCTGGTGGCAGGGTGGCTGCACCTGGAGGACAGGATCTGAGTGTGACACAGACTGTGTCTGGTGTTGTGGACCATTTTTCACCAGCCTCAGACAAATGCCCTGGCCACCTTGCCAGCCAGGGCCTGGTTGTCTACCCATGGAATGATCTAACCAGCAGCACAGGCTGCATCTCTGAGAGAACAGCCTCCCAACAAAGCCCCAGGCTTCCCCAGGGGTTTGTCCCTGTACCAAAGACTGCGAGAGGGGGCCAGCCAGGGGCAGGGGAACTGCCAACTCAGAAAGTGTCTGAGGCCTCCCAGGCTCAGCCCCTCCTGACCTTGGGTGAGAGGCAGCTTCCTGCTGGAGTTGCCCTGTCCAGCTCTGACAAACCCAGTGTGCCTGACCCAGCCGTGTGGGAGCCCTCGTGGGGAGCAAGCCTGACCTCTGGCCGGCTCAGCAAACAGCCACCATCAGGACAATGCAGGGTTTTGGCTTCCCATGGGAACAACCAGAGAGCCTGGGCTGTAAAGGAAGAGCAGGTGCAGCTGTGGGCAGCAGAAATCCTCCTGGCCTTAGAGGGACTTCACCAACAGGGTGTATTGTGCTGTGACCTCAACCCCAGGAACCTGCTGCTTGATACAGCTGGTAGGTAATGCCCCATGCTGCTGCCCCAAGGAGGAGGAATTTGGTCTCTCATCTGGGAGATTTCTGCTTGCCCCATTTCCCGAAGATGTGGACTTTCTTGTGTTTGCTTTGGAGGAGGGTGGGAGTCTGGGAAGGTTTGTTTTTTCTGAAATTGTAAGTGTGATGATTGACTTAGGTTTTCCAAGTAATAATTACAAGAGATGGCTCTGCAGCAGGAGAGTCAAGGGCCATAGCCACAGAAATGCATTGCCCCTGCTCCCATGTGGGGGTTGGCTGCCTCGGAAATCCTGACCTCAGCTGAGACCAGGGGAGCTGTGCCTGAGGTTAGCAGGACTAGTGGGTTAGTTTTCCCCTGCTTATAGCAACTGCCTGCTGGGGATGTTCTGGAGCCATGCCATCCCTCTAAGACATGGGTATTTCTGTCAGTGCAAGTCCCTGCTCAGCTGGCAACATCTGGGACAAACTGGAGAACTACAAATTGCTTAAGAAAAGAAAAATGCAGAGAGATTTGGAAGGAGAAAGCTAACCTTCCCCTTTAAAACCTGCTGCTTTCCTCACCACAGCCTGCACTGAGACCTGTGAGCTTGGTGCCCACCTAAGCAGTCTCACCTGCTGGGCACCTTGGGCAAGCACTGGGAGGTCAGCAGGGGAGAGGTGGGGGGTGTGGTGCCAGGGGATGCTCAGTGCCTCTGTGTGTTCAAGGCATGACAGGGACCCAGTACACTGGTTCCCAGTGGCAGGGATATGGCTTGGCTTCATGCCAAAGTCCTCGCTCTTGTCCTAACCTTCCTGCTTTTGACTCTGGTGCCGCTCTACAGGTCATGTCCGTCTCACCTTCTTTGGCCAGTGGACAGAGGTGGAGCCCCAGTACTGCAGCCAGGCACGAGAAGAGCTGTACAGCGCTCCAGGTAATGGATGTGTCCCTTGGCTTCTCCAGCTCTCTGTCCAGTGGCACCAACTGGAGAGAGGGGGCTTCTGCAGGCAGCGAGATGTAACCAGCACTGTGGCCACTGGTGCTCCCTGCCTCCAGCTCTAACCCCTCTCTGTCTCTTTCTGCAGAAGTGGGGGGGATCATGGAGCCCACTGAAGCAGCTGACTGCTGGAGCTTTGGCTCTCTGTTGTATGAGTTGCTGACAGGAGTGGTAAGAGGCTGATAAGCTATGCAAGGACAGGGGAGGAGAAGGCTCAATGGCTGCCTTCTGTATAGGGCTGGGAGGGTGCCTTGCCCTGCTGGCACCTCAGTTCTTGGCCAGGTTCCTTCAGACATGTGATTCCCAGTGCCTGTGCCTGCTCTCTGGGTGTTAAGGGCCCTGGCTTTTAAATGCTGGCGTGTAGGCCTGGGGTTATGTGTCAATGAAGACTCAACAGGGTGCTCCTCTCCTCCTGGGTGCCTCTGTTTACCATCACGCTCTATCTCCTGCAGCCACTCTCACAAAACCATCCATCAGGGATTCATCCTCACACCCAGCTGCATCTGCCAGAGGGCCTCAGCCTGGCTGCGACATCGCTGCTCACTGAGGTGAGTGGCTTGGGTGAATGGGAGGGAGAATGGGACTAGAGGTTGGGGAAAGGCAGGGTCCAGTCTGGGTACATTTTCCAGTGTCCCCCATTTCCCCATCTTCCTTTCCCACTGCTTTTCTCCGCAGCTCCTGCAGTACAATCCAAAACGGCGCTTGGGCTCTGGAGGAGGTGGCATAACAAAGCTGAAGTCTCACTCCTTCTTCAGCACAGTCCCATGGAACAAGCTGGTGGGCTAGGCAGGCTGTCCTTCCCCCAAGGAGCTGGGCCCTGAGCCGCTTCCCTGGCACTTGTGACCCCAGGTGGCACGGGCAGCACTGCCTGCTGGGGAAGGCTTGCCTCAAAGGCGGCCCTGAGGTGGGGTACACATGAGGCTTTGCAGCCTTACATGTCCTTCTGTCTCTGCTTCTGTTTGTTGGCATCTTCAAAGAGGAGGCATCATGTTGGGCCAGGCTGTCTTCTCCAGGTCCTCTCTGGTGGGAAAAGGAACCTGGGTGCTCACCTCTGGGAAGTGGTGGTGTTCCCCTTCTTGGGGCATCTCTTCCTCAGTTCAGCACCTTGCCCTGGAACTCCCTGTGTTTTTTATCTCTGCTGCTACCACAGTGACTCCCCTGTTCTGTTACTTTTTGTGGCTTTCAAATGCAGCCCCTCTGGGCCCTGCTGGCTGGAGCCCAAGCCCGTGGTCTCTGCCCCTCCCTGAATGCATGTGTGTGTGGGTCATCCCTGCTGCAGGGGTGACACAAGAAGGAGCCCTCTGCTCTTCTCCCCCTTGCCCTCTGAAAAAAATAAACTATTCAGTATCACTTAGAGAAGTGTCCTTTTGTTTCTGAGCTGCACCAGCCAGGTGTAGGCCAAGCCTACTAAGTGACAGAGAGCCCTAAATCTGTTTGTGAAACTTGCCTCAAAGCTCTGGGTTGGTGTCACCCCCAGCCATCAGCAGCCTGCAGCCAAACCCCAAAAGGTGGCACTGAATGCCTGGCCTTCTGTCCCTGTGCTCCTGCTTGCCCCATAGCACCTCAGGTCTGCATGGCTGCAGTTCGGATTTGGGAAATGCCTGGGTTTTCTTCCAGCCTTTTGTCATTGTTGTATGTTGTGGCTCCAGCCTTCCTTTCCACTGGCAGGACAGCAGCCATGCTTTGAATATGGGCATCCCTGGTAAGCAACACAGGTAGGATTTGAAGGGGTGAACTCTGAGAGGCAGCACAGAGGGAAGGAGGCCAAGTGTACAAACTCCTGGCTTAAAGGAAAAGCAGCACAAACAGATGTGTCTGCTGACAGCCTGAAGTGGAGGCTGCTGTGCTCAGCTGTGCAAGTCAAAGCCACAGGCTAAAGGATGAGCTCACAATGGCAGTGGTGCAGTTCTGGCCCTCCTCTCCCAGCACCCCCTCACACTGCTCAGTTCCCACCCATAGTAAGGAATTACTGGTACCAGCAGCACATCTCCGTGGCTAGCTGCTTCCAGCTCCTGCTTGCACTCAGCAGTAAAGACACCCTCCGAGGCAGCAGCAGGTGTGCTCGCCCACCAGAGGGAAGCAGAGCTCTAGATAAACTCATCTCCTACAGCAGCAAAGGTATGGACACCTCAATTGCTGTGCAGAAACTGGAGGACTGAGCAAGGAGCTGACCACTACTGCCACAGAAGGCCAGAGAGTAGGAGCAGCTGAGCCTGGGCCTTTTCTTCACCATGGCAGTTCACACTGGCTGAACCCTCCAGCTGCAGCCTTGCATGCCTGTGTACCAGCTCCCTAGTCCTGTGATTCAGAGGAGGTTCAGGAAGGACCCTGTGTCCAAAGCCACAGCATGGCATCTTGCAACTCAGTGCCATGGGTGTCACCCAAGTCAAAAGGAAGTTTCAAGCACTGCTCTCTTACAGCATACCTTGACAGGGCAGAATAATGCAGTTTGCTAAGCTGCATAATTTTAAGACCTTGATTGTATATTCCTTTCCCAGTTGGTGCAAAGGCCTCATTTATTGCAGCTCCAGACAGAATAAAGGCTTCCCCAGGCTTATATACAAAGTGAAGGTGGACCCTCTGTATCCTAAACCAGCAGAGAGGCTGAGTGCAAGCAGCAGTTTTTAATCAAAACCTTCTCTTCCACTCAACTTATTTGTGCAAGCATTAGCTCTCTACTCTTCCCAGAACAAGAGTTTTTTCTGCTTGCCCTAACCTACCTTAGCCAGGGCCAGAAAAAAAAGTTGACTCTGCACTCTGCTTTTGTCCTCAGCTGCCAGGAAAATGCAGGCACCACTACTAGGAACTGCTCTCCCTTTCATCCACATGGCAGCTGTGAGTCCAATCATTTTCTGTCAGAAGGGACTGCCTTCTTCACCTGTAGCTGGGAAGAGTGAACCATCTCTGAAATTCATGTCAGCTGGGAAAACCCTGCCATGATCCAGGAAAGATTTTGTTTTGTCCCAACAAGGTCTGCTTCTTGGGGAAACACCCAGCATCACAACCAGCTTCCACTGTTCCTTGTTCTTGTTTCCTTTCTCCCTCTTCAACAGTCTTTTCCACAGCTGCATGAACTACAACTCTCCCCTCTTGCAGCAGTAAAAACTTCTGAAAAACTTTATGAGCCTGTCCCAAGTCTCCCTCTTGGCCATCATGCCCTTTAGCTAACACTGGGAATTCCTCACCATCTGTAACAGTTCTATTGCTAGAAAATGATGATTTCCAGCCCTAAAAAACTCTTTGCTGGGAAGAGCCAATTCTTTGGCAGAGAGTTTGAGGACAGCAGTGTTTCCAGGCAGAGAAGACTCAATTTCAGCTGCCACTGCCTCTTTTCTTTCACCACCAGATAACAGCACTCACGCACTACACTCCTGGAGGATGCCAGTCCTCGCCCCCTCAAACACACCCCACCTTGCAGTCGTTGCACAGTTTTATTTCATTTAAAATCCGCTGTGTTAAATATTTTTGTTACAAGTTCTGTGTAGGGGGTAAGAGTAATAGACTCTGCAGGCACTAGCAACCCCCTCACCCCTCAATTCATGTGTGCGCTATCAGATTAAGAACTGCCCCCCTCCCCCCAAAACCAGCACCCGTGGGCTGGGATATACATTACAGTGAAGGGCCTGGCTCCCCCAGCTGTGTGTCCCCTGGGAGCAGGCCAAGCCCCTGCACGCAGGAAGCCAGCAGTCAGATCCACTGCCAGTGAGCTGTGAGTCAAGGAGGGTTGCTGGGGGCTGGTTCTCACCCCCATGTCGAGCAAGTAATGGTGAAATGGTTGTCCCCAGGAACAGTGCTACCTCCACAGAGGACACGGGCTCTGCCCACCCCGACAAAAACATTCATGCCACAGTGACTGGGCTGGTGAAAGACAATCTCCAAGGGAAAGTAAGGGAGCTGCCACCCCGTGTTACTGTCTGTGGAGGGAGTGTAACTAGGGCACTGACAGAAGCATGACACCTACCTCAAGCCCTGCTCTGACCAAAACGTTTACTGCAAGTGTCCTTGGGGTCAGACCACCCTTGCAAGGCAGATGAGTGTGAAATATTTTCAAGCAAAATGTGGACAGGACAGTAGCCTTTCCTCTCCTCTCCCTCCCAGGAACCTTAGTGCTAGGCAATAAAGCTGAACCTGCCATGGAGGGGCAGGGAAGGGTACCCTAGCACAGCAGCAGCAAGCAGTTTCCAGTGGTATAGGACAAGCTAGAGGTGAGAGTTTGGCGCTGTGAAGGAGAGGATGCCACACAGATGGCTCTGGAAAGGCAGTGCCATTAAGTGGTTGGCCCACTGCATGGCAGTTCTTGTGAGATACTAAACCTTCATTAAACAAAATAGGAAAGGAGGTAGGAGCTATCCCGTAATTCCCTCTGGAACAGCTCCAATCACAGCGGAGGGAGAAAGACTGGAATGACCCCTGCCAGTTCCTGAATGCCCTGCATTGTCCCTGCTGGTGCTGCGGCCCTGTCCTGGGTGGGTTGTGTGGGGGTGTGGCTGCCCTACAGGTCGAGCAGCAGCACGCGGGGATCCTCCACCGCTGCCTTGATCTTGCGCAGGAAGGTCACGGCCTCTCTGCCGTCGATGAGCCGGTGATCGTAGGTCAGCGCCACGTACATCATAGGCCGCACCTCGATCTGAGGAGTGACACGGGGGTTAGTGAACTCAGCGCTCCTGCCTGCATGGTCCCCTCCTGTGAATTCGGGGAAAACCTGGCTTTTTCCCACCCCAAATCTTGGGCTCAGGCCCTCCTGGATGTGTGCTGCCTGGCAAAATTACCTACCCACCCACCTAGGCTGGGTCCATGCCACGTACAAGATAAGGTCCCTTCCCGGAACTGTTCCCTACCACAAAGGCTACAACCTCCTCCTTCCCACACCTAAGCAGATTATAACCAGTTTGCCCACTCACAGATAGGACAAAGTCCCCTGCACAGCTCAAGCAAGTACCAGGGCCAGCAAAGGTGCCCTATACCCATTAGTCTCTGCTCCTGCTTCACACTACAGTGTTTCAGAAGTGACACCAATCCCTTAGAAAAAAGTCCTCAGTCTGCTGAGCCTTGTCCTTTGTTCACTAAAACCCCTGTGCAGGTCCACTTACCTTGCCTCCCACAGCCACAGGCCTGTCAAAGATGGCATGCATGCCTAAGATGGCAGACTGGGGTGGGTTAATGATAGGTGTTCCAAAGAGTGACCCAAAAACCCCACCATTGCTGATTGTGAAAGTGCCACCATCCATGTCTTCAATGGCCAGTTCATTCTTCCGTGCCTAGAAGTAAAAGTAAGGTCTTAGAAAGCCACACAGATCACAGAGAACAAAGAACAAGAGTTTGGACATACACTCTCTCCAGGAATAAATACTGATTGCAAGAGGTTTGTTTATTGATTTGTTCAGCTGAAAACCAGCACTAATTGCTCGAAAATGCATCCTATTTTTAGAATGAACATCTAGTGGCTTTGGGGAAGTATTCTCTCACCTTTGCTTCCAACTCCTGCTTTTGCAGGAGACAAACACAGGGGCTTCTACCCCAGGGCAGTTCAGCCCTGGCCTCTAAAGACAAAGGTGAAGATACACTATGTCACTAATGCACAGACTGCAGTCTTCTGCAAGGGCAACAAGTAGAGCAGTCCTAGAAGGCAGAGGCACAGCCAGACATATAACTGGATCACTTCCCACAGCACAACTCAGTGTGTCAGAGGTCAAGAGATGATGACACAGAGGACCAAATCAATACATGCCAATCCAGCACTTCATTCCTTCCAACCCTCTTCAGAAAACTTTTCTTACCTTCTCCCCTAGCTCGTAGATAGCACGCTCTATGTCAGCAAAGTTCATGTTTTCTACATTCCTAACCACAGGGACCACCAGACCCTGGGGAGAAGCAAAGTCCATGAATAGCAAATTCAATGCAGTGACACACAGATAGCTGTCATGCCGCAGGAACCTTGACACAGCCCCGGAGAGTTCCTGCCTCCCCCTCAGCCCACAGCAGCTGGTTGGCAGAGCTGCCTTGTATCCTGGTAGCCTGACAGGAAACCTGGCATGACACACATCAAGGACTGACACCTTAAACTGAGCCATCATCTTTGCCTTTGTTAGACTATCTCATAAAATCAGCCAGGTCTGTCTGGAGCCAGCTCCACATTGATAAAATTCCTAGGTGAGGCACTGGGAGATTTCAGCTGGCACCTCTTTCTCTCACCTCTTTATGCTGGGCCTCCCCTAGACTTTGGGAGAAGACAGTGACAGAACTTCAGTCCTCCTCAAACATCTGCCTCATAGCAGAACCTTGTAATCAAGAGGGTAATTCACTAATTCAACATTTGTAACTCCATCCCATGATCTCCCTGGACAGAAACATGTCTGTGGAACAGCACAGCAAAGTTACTCAGATGACACGATGTTCAAAGCTTTTACTGCCTATGTCATGGATTCATGACAAGAAAGGATTTCCCTAACCTGGCCCTACTCCTCTCAACAACTGAGCTCTATACTGACCCTGTTACCAAATCTCTTATTAAGATGAATATAGAATATTCTTCCTCCTCCGTCTTCTCTCAAAACCTGTCTGAGCACTCCATAATGTATCAGGTGTCTCATTTATACAATCAGTCTTATCAGTTAATTTCTGCTGCAGCAGAGCATGAAGCTGAGCTGCCTCAAAGTATATGACCATCCCACACAAATGGCTGCAGGAAACATGGACAAAGCATCCAAGGTACCTACCCGGGGAGTTGCTACAGCGACACTGATGTCCACATAGTCCCTGTACACAATCTCTTTGGTCGTGTCATCGATCACTAGGAAGAGAAAAAGCTTGTGTTATATATGTAGAACCTAAGATCAAGGGTTTGACAGGCTACAAAATCCTAACAACCTGCTCATGTCTAGCTTAAATGTAACTCCAGAGAAGAATGAGACCTTGCTGTACCTGTGGGAGAGGCACCAGGATAGACAGAAAGAAAACAGTTCACACAGCTCAGTCCTCATCAGTAATTCTCCCCTTGGTTATTCTGTTCTTCTGTGTTTCAGCAAGCACCTCTGACACCTGCAGCAGCCACCTGTACATCAACCAGCAGGCTCTGCCCTCTGCAGGCTGCATATGCACGGCCCCAGGCCCTCTCTTGTCACCCCTTCCTAATCCAGTCCCTCTCAGCAAGTTGTCCTCTACCTATGTAAGTGGCTTTAGCAAAATCAGCTGCATCATGCAGGACTGTCCCTGTTTTTCCTGTGTATTTGACTTGCTTCTCCAAGCTACTACTCCTGCCATGGACTTGGCCATTTGCTTTTCCCCATTCTGCCATGTTCCCCAGACATGCAAGTCACCAGCAAGGGTTACCACTTACCTGCATTCACAACAGGCTGGTCCTGCAGAGCAAAGGCTGCAGCTTTCACAAAAGCTGACATGAATCCTAGCTTCAGGTTGTGCTTTTTCAGAAAGGTATCCTTGTGTACAGTTCTCATCTCCCGGATGTTGCTATGAAACACATGATAACACTGGTAAATGAGGAGTCCAAGAAAACACCGTTTCCTCACTCTGTAACACATTTCAGTGCCAGCCCCAAGGATGCAAATCTCTACCACCAAGTGGAACACCGCTGCACACCTCCAGTCTGCTGCAAAACCCTTCATGTATTATATCAACATGGCTCTAAGGTTCCTGACAAAGGATCAAACAGAAACTGGTCCTGGACCACGAACTCCACAGCCAGGATAAACCTGCAAGGCCCACACTGCCAGGCACAGAAGCAAGATGGGGCATGGTGTATTTCCTGATTAAACCTGATGTTGCCACCTATTCTCTGGAGACACCAGTGCTCATACCAGTGTGGCAACACAGACAGCAAATGCAGGTGTGGCTGGGCTGACACAGAAGGGTGAAAAGCCAGAAAATGCCAAAAGCAGTAAACATGCAGGAAATTAAAGCGATTAAAGGAAAATACCTCAATCACTCTGCAAATTCAGCACCAGACAGCACAACACCACATTTGTACCCAATCCTTTGGCTTTGGGAGTTGAGTGAATATTAAAGGAATTTTCCCAGGTGCTATGGTAGTGGGTGCCAGTCTACCCACAGCTCTTGACCAGACAAATCACGTTTTCCCACTGTTTCTATTTATCAAAATTGAGGCCATTTACAAACATCAACCAGGCTGTGGCTACAAGCTCTGCCTGTTCCAGGCTAACACCAGATGCTGTGGAATTGCATGGCTCATCCCTTCCCCCTTCAGAGACCTTGAGTCTTTGAAGAGACAGCTTCACCAAGGAGCAGGATCTTCCATAGTTTAGTGTGTTTGTTTTTCTGCACCTAACCTCGTTTAGGGTTAGGATTACTGCCCAAAGACATTAGTGCCTCCCAAGACACAAGGACTGCAGCAATAAGGATGCAGCCTGCTATGGAACTGGCTCATTAAGGCCTCCTCCTTTCAGACACTGACCCCCAGGGGAAGCAGGAGGCCCCAGCATAGGTCTTCACGAATCAACTTCACCGTAATCAATCCAAACAA